AATCAACTCACTTCCTCCCCTTTAGAATAAAAGTAGACACAAACTTACTTCAACGACAGCATCACTGAGGTGTCTCTGCTGACGGAAGAGGATGTTGGTCGCCCCGGCAACAAAGCCTCGCACCGTCACATCTGATAGAAGGTGATGCTGCTGTAAAGCCATRTAAGGAAGGCACAGGTAGCCCTGCAATGACAGGAGACAAATGTCGCTGCATTTAGAAGAGATGGGCAGGTGTTGTTCTCTAATCCCACCTTGATGTGATGATGTCATCATGTGTAATGTGACACATGAAGCAAAAGCTAACACTGATCTGATCCTGCTGGAAGCTAAAACACACAGGAAATGTTTTCTCAGAGGAAAGAGGATCTGATAAAGAAGTCTTTATGAACTGGGATCTATAAAGGAGATGTTGCCACTAAAAAAACATTGTAAATTAAAGATAGGAAAATCAGTCCTGGATTTAACTTATACATTAAACCTGGAGGATTATTGTTATTCAAAAAAAAAACTTACTTTGCCTGATACTCAGGAATTCTATAAATTATGACAAAGGAAGCAAAGAAGCTTGCTTAGGGTCCATAATTGTGCAATTGTGTTGCAGATATTAGGCTGATTTACGTGAGGTGATAAAAAAATTCATCTGTTGCTACAAGCTCAGATTGCTAAACGTTAGCTCTGATTTGCCTCAGTGGTTCAGAAACATTTTTTGCAAAAGGACAATACTATTATGAATACAATTTTTCTAAGGCACAACTTAGGAAAATGCTAGCTAAGAACCAAGAAGTATCATAACAAAAGCTGAAAGCTGCAGATCACTGGCTAAGATCCAAMAGCATTAGAATAAATCAGAGCAGAATTAGCATTAGCATTATTAGAGGCACGATTAAAATTAGCAAAAGCACAAGTAACGTTCGCAGCATTAGCACTAGCAGGGCAGAATTCTTCGATCAATTTCTGACGAGATCAAAAATAGCTGAAAAAACTAAATATTTCAAAAAGTATAAATTGTTGACTCAGCATTCACACTCTTCAGGATACCTTAGTGAAGATGGCGAGCGGCAAGCCGTACTGATCCTCCTCCAGACCCAACACCAGCCCCTGGGTGACCCCTCCCTGACCGCTGGCCGCCTGCGGCTGCACTGTGATTGGTGTTTCRGGTTTGGAGTCAAACGTATCCGACAGTTCTGACCCCGTGACGGCTGCCCCTTTCGGACCACCTTCCTCCAACACGCTAGGGTCCAGAGTCTCCCAGTCGCTATCGGAGGACTCAGGAGAGGGGCGCGAGGGAGGTTTGAGGTGGTTGTTGTCGTCCTCATTGCTATTCCCAGAGGACAGAGTCTCTGGAGCAGGACGAGCCGCCTCCACGCCCTCTAGCTCTAAGTTAGTGTTGGTCAGGTCGGTGACGGACACAGAGACAAACTCCTCGGCTYCAGAAACGCTCTCCAGTAGATTCACATCCTCCGACACGCTGCTCTTAGGGCGGTAGTGGGACGAATCCACCAGGCCGTGTTCGATCATCCCTACACACATATCACAATGGTTAATGTTGTGGATATACTGTATAATATAATAC